ATATATATATATAATTAATAAAGTTAAATAAAACGCGGTTAGAGAAATATTCGCTGAAAGCAAATATTATTTCATTAAACCAAAATTGTTACAGCTTTTAACGAGATATTAATTAACTGACTCGCGCTGCAGCCTGTAATATGGTAAGGTTTTCATTAATTATTAATTAATTATTAAATATTCATGATAAACCACAAACACAACACTATGTTAGGTTTCATTAAAGTTGCAATATTTTAGTGTAACAAGAAAAACAACTTTTAACAGAGAAAATCCTGTCACATTATCTCCATAATAATATTATGATGATAAATAATAACAATAATAATAACAACAACAATAACAATAATAATAGTAATAATAATTTAAAGGCTATATTTTAAAGCTATTAATTCAAGTGGTCTCTTGCAATACCTGAATAATGGATATCGAAGTACCGAACTAGGTTATACCTGAAATTGAGGATATTGCAAGGTAACCCCCATTATCAAAAGTCGGCTTATGACTGTGCACTTTTTACGTATGATTCTACAGTCATACAGTGGTTTTTCGGCGCCTGATGATTTTGCTAACCAACACAATCCACGAATCGAACTTTTTATAATATATTTGCGTAACAATGAGTCGATTACGTTTAATCTTAAGTCAAATTTTAGATTATGACCTGTAAGAAAATAGGAAACACATTGAAATACTACCCGTGATATATGCAAGCGCGTGTCCGCGCGCGCATTTTGCATCATATTATCATTAAAATAATAAATATTTTATCTGACGCTTAAAATAACAAATATTTTATCACTGCAAAGAGGCTGCATATAATTTATCGAAGCGTGATTAATTAAATTAATTTCAACATTAATTTAATATAATAAATAACAAAATAGAAATAAAAATTAGTTAATTTATATTATCGTTTAAAATTTATATATTTATATATATATTAATCTGATAAATCATAAGATAGGAGTTATAATGACAAAAATAATATCGCGCTCGTATATGAAAAGTCTATTTGTTTCCCTTGTTGCACCGTCTTTCTTTCTATATTTAAAATATGATTATGCATTTGTGTAAAAGATTCAAGAATGAAATAAAGTAGAAAATGCAACTATAACGAGCTAGATGCAATGACATATAAAATTGCCGCGCTCGATATAATAAAACGAGAATGTTTGAATCTCGAAGCGAATTATATGATACTTGTTGCATCATTCAATTTGCCTTATTCAACGCATATCGCACTATTTAGAGGCTTTAACGAGCTATTATTTGTATTTTTGAATTTGTATTCGCGTAATTGTATGCGGAAATTCGCGATAATGTCTCTGTTGCAAAAATAAATCATGCGTTAATAAAACCCGTGCGGCCGTGTGACGAGGATTTTTGGATTCCGATATAGCATTACATTTGATAAGAATACAGGAATATACGAGTATTTATTAATGTAAGCGCGCCTCAAGTACAACATCTTTATGTGTATCAAGTTCTTCTCAGAGTATAATTAACATAAAACATGACGTTTGCGTCCTTGCGCTAGCCACTTCACAATGTTCCTTGTCACGTCTATTTTTCTCATTATTACGTGTAGTAATGTGCCATAATGGGACATCGTTTCATCTCTCAACAACATCACTGCCACATTTCGTCATGTTGCGTCAGTTAACTACACTTAACTACACACGATTACTAACTCAGTGTAACTCACAACTATACGAGCTACAATACATTACTAAATGGTCATGATCCATGTATAATCGCGCGTCTCCTCTCAAGTCGCGGAACAGGCGCGCGACTTTGCGCTTCAATGTCGCGAGTGTGATTACGAGATGTTGTGTTTGCGAATAATTAGTCGATCGATAAATTGCAATGTGTTTCGATTCACAGCTGTTCGTTGCGCCGTGCTACCTGGCCTTCGGTCGTCATCTCAAAGTCCCCATAATCGGCACGGTGGCCAGCGTTTTTCACGACTGGCTAAATGAGGTGTCCGGCAATCCGATGAACCCCGCTTACGTCCCGAGCTTGTTCTCGACGTACACTCAACAGATGAATTTCAAGGAACGACTCGTGAACGTTCTGTTATCAAACTACCTCTCCACGCAAATACATTATTACACGAATTCGCAATTGGAATTCGTAAAGAAGTACTTTGGTATAGATGTGCCGCACATCAAGGACTTGTATTACGACTTATCTTTGTATCTGGTCAATTCCCATCACTCGTTACATGGAATTAGGCCAATGACCACTAATGTGATCGAGGTCGGCGGTTTGCATCTCAAGGACGACGACCCGCCATCGTCGGTATGTTTAACCAAACTTGCTTTATCCGCGAATTATTATTCATATAATGCATGTTAGTTCTTCCTGTGTATAATGAGATCTGACGTTATATAGATTTTTTACTATAAATACAATTTCTTTTTCACTCAAAGCCAGCAAGGAATAACTATAAATAAAATAATTATTTGTCGGAGAGAATATAAAAATTATTGTTCAAATAAATATAATGTAAAATTATTCAAAAATTGGGAGAAAGAAAACAGAATTTTATATTCAAAGATAAAACGTTTTAAAAATAAAATATACATATATATTTTTTACTCTTTTTATTAAATATAATATTTATATACGCATTGTGTGTGTGTGTGTGTGTGTGTGTGTGTGTGTGTGTGTGTGTGTGTGTGTGTGTGTGTGTGTGTGTGTGTGTGTGTGTGTGTGTGTGTGTGTGTGTGTGTGTGTGTGTGTGTGTGTGTGTGTGTGTGTGTGTGTGTGTGTGTGTGTGTGTGTGTGTGTGTGTGTGTGTGTGTGTGTGTGTGTGTGTGTGTGTGTGTGTGTGTGTGTGTGTGTGTGTGTGTGTGTGTGTGTGTGTGTGTGTGTGTGTGTGTGTGTGTGTGTGTGTGTGTGTGTGTGTTCAAAGATAAAAAAATAAAATATACATATATATTTTTTACTCTTTTTATTAAATATAATATTTATATACGCATTGTGTGTGTGTGTGTGTGTGTGTGTGTGTGTGTGTGTGTGTGTGTGATAACAAATGAGCTATTTTGTATTTTCTCTGCCATAAAATTTTCATTAAAAACGCGCGCGAAATCTTTCTTTCAATAATCGTATATAAATATGTGCATAACAATTAAGATATACATAAAAAGATGACTATATTGTTTCAACTATATTGTTTGCAAATTCCGTAATTTAATGAGGTACCTATCCTCCTTTTCAAATCTATCTCAATTTTTGCAAGCAACAATCTAAAGATTTGCTTATTTCGTGATGTTATGCGTTTAAAAATATTACGTGCTTATTACATTAGGATGACCTATCGCAAACTACTTGCTCTAAAGAAGTTTATATGTAGGAAGTGCAAAAATGGTTGGATGAAAGCAAGGATGGCTGCATTTACTTTACATTCGGTTCCATGGTGAGGATCGAAACATTCTCTAAAGAATTGATCGGACAGTTCTACGCGTCGTTCGAGAAGATCGCCCCAGTTCGCGTGCTGATGAAAGTCGCGAAGAAAGAAGATCTGTTGCCAGGATTACCCAAGAATGTCATGACGCAATCTTGGTTCCCGCAAATCTCCATTCTAAGTACATAATTATTGCCAGTCGGTTACACGTAATGATAGACTATGTTTGTTTCTTACAATTAATAATCTTCATTAGAATCATTATTTACGATGAAAATCCATGGTTTTTGCCCATTGTAATAGCATTTGCATAGAAATTGAGCAATCTTACTAAAAAAAAAAAAAAAAAAAAAAAAGTTATTTTTCGACCAAATTTTCTCGTAATAAAAATTTTATAATTTGTAATCTCTATTTTCTAATACGTATGTAGTAGTTTCAAGCAGAGATAAGGATTGCAAAATTTTAGCCATTTATATTAAACGGAAAATACTATATTCTCAGTTAAAAGAAAAATATTTTTATCACGTTTCAGAAAAAAGATTTTGGAAATTTAAGAGTTACGTGTTGTTAAGTCAAATTTCGGAAAGATATTCAAGTATTCAAAATCGTAGAATATATTTTTCGAAAAATAGAAATTTTTTGGAAAGTCGATTTTTTATTTATTAATACGAAAAGATAGATCAGTTTTTAAATTAAAATTTACGTCGTTAGTTTCACGCGCTGTGTATTTGTTGGGCGCATTCAATCTCGCAACGTAAAAGAGGAAAAACTAATGTACATATGTGAATTCCGCAGAACACAAAAATATACGCGCCTTCATTACGCACGGCGGCGGCATGGGAACGCAAGAAGCGATCTATTGCGGAGTTCCTATGATAGGTATCCCTCTGTTCGGCGATCAGCGCATCAATATTCAAAATTACGTCAACAAGAAGGTGGCTATCTCGCTCGGGTCAATAAACGACGTTACCGAGGAGAAATTAACTTTGGCATTAAATAGCATCTTGAAGGATCCTTTGTATCGGTAAGTACTCAAAGTACTATGAACGTCGAAGCTTTAAGGATGGTTACATATTAATCGTAACGTGTTCAATCGAAATTAATGAAATCATAACATTAATCGTGTGGAAACCGCAGGCACAGCGAGTTAAAATTTCGTTAATTGGATAACTGTTATTTCAAAAGTTGCAAAATAATAATTAAATTTATATATGTATATTAAATCTTTTAATTT